TAACCCACCTGCTGGCCCCCAGGCTCTCTTAATTAGTAAGAAACAAATGATTTTATGAATGGCACAAGGGAAGAGAGTAGGAGAGCAGTCATACAACACGACATATATATATATTTTTAATTTACTTCTGTTTTGGATTTCATGTGTAATTACATGAACATTTTGTGTACAATGACAAATGTCTCTCAAGGCATTCTTTAAGTACCAAAAGGTGGAACTTCACATAAGACTTAATAATATTTCCAAGTGCCTAGAAACTGTGCCTGAGATCAATGATTTGGTTTATTATTTAATGAACTATAATACAGAGATTTTTTTTTTTATTTTAGGGTGAGATTTTTGAGATAGGTCATGTGCATTCACCAGAGAGACAGAAAGAAACAGAGAGACAGAAAGTGAGAAATCACCCCAGGGGGATGGCCATGCTGCAATCCCTTTTCTTCCATTCTCCTCCAGGATCTTAGGCATGTACACACAAGTGCCCAGTGTGAGTTTTAAGCCACCAGGTCTGGGACTTGAACAGCAGTCAACTACGTGGGAGTCCAACAATATAACCATTACACCATCTGCTGGTCCCTAGAGATATTATTTTAAAGAGCTCAGAAGGTCATGGAAAATTTTCTTCTGAAAACTGAAAGAGATTCGGAATAGTTACAACTGGTGCTGGCACCATTAGTTTTTCTCCTGAACAGAACACATTCAGTGGAAGCCAAATGGAAACTAAAACTCTGAAAAAGTCCCACTTATATTAGCTAACTGGCCAAAGACAATCCCAATTGTGATTTTCTGTAGAAGAGAGAGCAAACACTCTCCACTCCCAGTGGTTTCTCACTTGATGTTTGGGCTGACAGAGACCACGGGTCACACCAGGAGCACTTGGTGAGGTTTATAGTTAGGACAAGTATGCACATCTCCCTTCCTTTTCTTCTTGTGGACTCAATTTCTAACACCAAGATGTACCCTGTTATTGTGGCTAAAAATGTTTTTGAAGAAACTTTTTGGAAGAAGGACTATATACACAAGGAGAATTCCAAAACCAACAGCACTCTGGCAAACAGAAAGTTATTTACTTATAACACAATAAGGTGTATTCAACTCAAAAGGGCTTTCCCTTTGAGCAGGTGTGAAGTCTCACAATTATAGCCAGAAGGGCAATTAAAATATGCATGGGATTTCTAGACCCAATGTGAGCTAATTCACATAAGACAGGTTACCAAATGATCACCCATTGTTTCTACCTTACATCTAGAAACTGAAAGAGAAGATATAATTCATTACCAACACTTAGATGAATTTCTACTGCAGTTTTTGTCTTACTGTATTGTACATATTTGTTTGTATGCTTTACTGTTTTGCTGAATAATGTGGTTGCAACCACCTTCTATGCAGTCACATTTATCCCTCTTGTTTACCGTAACTCACAGCACCCCATAACAATCAAAATTTGTTGAATGAAGTTGATTAAACTGAATTGTGTTATATTTGCAGTCTTATTAGTCACATAATAAATGTAAGTACTACATGAAGAGAATTGAATTTATAAAAGTCCTTGAATTCTGCTATTTCATTAAGTATCTTCCCTCTTCTCTATTGTTCTTATTTCTATGTACTCCTTGGTTCTCTCTCATTTATCTCTTTTTGTGGAAAATTCCATAATTTCACTTCTACCCACCTCTTATGCTCTCGCCACTACTCATAGACTTACTCAATCCCATGTTAGTATCCACAAATTGCAGTTTTTCCATATTTGTTTTTCTTTCTTCTTACACTAATCTCTCTCCATTATCTTATGCTGAGCCTCCTTCTTTCCTATGAACACACTCATATATTAGTGTAAATAGTTAAACTAGAGTGATGCAGTGGATGAAAATACAAATACAAAGATAAATTACATTTAGAGAGCCAAGAGTCAATGACATGTAGATGTCATTGAGATCTGAGTGAATTGATCCCCCTGGACTGGAGCCAAGAGCTGACAGACTCACAGGTCGGTGTGCCTGACAAGTTATAGGCAGCATCCTTGCCTTGCTCACTCCTACTCATTCTTCGGGTCTCTTCTTAGTATCAGGCCCTCAGAGAGCCATCAGTAACTCTCACCTCCTCAGTCTATGTCAGATTCTCCATTACAGGTTCTCCTCACTCCTTTTACTTTCTCTCCACAGCTCATACCTGGATTATATCCGCATACTTGAGGACGCTGACTTACTATGTCTCTCTCTATTGGATCAGGAGACCTTTGGGGCAAAGACTGTCTCTGTTTTGTTCACCACCATGTTCCACTGACTAGTGCAGCCCTCTGTCTATTATAGGTCCTTGTCAATATTTGTTGGATAAATAAATTAGTGACATAAAAACATCAAGTGTCACATAGCCACCGAAACTACTCACATGAGGCTAATGTTATAAGAATTTTGAAGAGAAGAAATCTGAGGAGAGGAATACTTTTAGTGACAAGTAGCAGCTTTCAAGTTTGTATAAAATAAAGAAAGACAATTAGGGGCAGAACATTTCTCTTGAGTGATCACGATTGGTAGAAAGTCTGATTCAACTGATGAATACAATTTTGTATGAACAGATGGACACAATGGGAATTAAAACAGGCAGTGCTATCATAAAACAAGCAAACACATTTCTTTGAGATAAACCACTTTGAATACAGACTGTTATGCTTTCATACCAATGCTCTATAACACAAGTATCCTATTAAGTAAAAAACTCTATTAAGTATAAGTAGTGTGTAATATTTGAGTGAGAAAGAGCTTAGGAAATGCTGACTCTTGTTAAAAACACAAAAATGATCTGAATGCTATGCAGGCTTTCATCTCTGGGTACTGTGTGACTGGGATACGTCTGGTCAGACCCTAACTTGGTGCAACTTGTTCAGATAGCACCTCTTAGGTTTCTCTTGATCTGCTTTTGCAGCCAACATGACCATTACAAAGTAGTTAGCATTAGGACAACATCAGTCTCAAAAGAATTCATTGGGCAGTTGAAAAGGTTTTCTTTTTCCTCTTAAATCTTTCAGCCCCCAACATTCATTAACAAGTCTTTCTGCCTCATTAATATACTCTGTACTCCTTCCTTCCAGTTTTTTTAATCATGCTTCTCATTTTTTAGGATTCATAAGTAGTTGCCATCTTTAATATTCACAACACTTATACTCAAAGAACTGAGAGGAATTTTAGAAATCATCTTATTCATGTCATTCATTTTAAGGATGAAGATTTTTTTTCTGGAGGATTTATTTAGCTAAATTTAGAGGAGCTCTCTCTTCCTTTGAAGTTAAAGTTAGAAATTAAAAATAGAGCACATACTGGGCCAGATTGTCATCAACTTGGAGTAGAGCTAGAGAGGGAAAACTAAGGCTAAGAGAACCAATCACATGAAATGACCAGAGGCTGAAAAGGTATTAGTCATCTCTAAGTTAGGCTGTGTTCCTATAGTTAATCTCCTAGCCTGAAAAAACAGGGAGCAGGAGGCTGTCTATACTAGCGGTCCCCAACCTTCCTAGCCCCAGGGACAGGCCATGGAAGACAATTCCTACACAGACTGGGGGAGAGAAGTTAAGTCTCAGGATGACTCAAGCCTATGACATCCACTGTGCATCCCGTTTCCATCACTACCACTTCCAATATACAATAAAACCATCACATAGCAATAGGGGTCATGCTCCCTTGAGAATCCAATATCACTGCTATTGGACGGAAGTGAAGCCCAGGCAGTGATGAAAGCAATGTGGAGAGGCTGTACACAGGGTCAAAGCCTCACTCACTCGCTCTCTGCCCATCCCCTACTGCCTGGCATACTGTGTGAGGAACCCACCACAGGCTACAAACTGGCACCAGTTCACAGTCTAGGGGGTTGAGGATCCCTGGTCTATACTTATACCCATTACTAATTTTACCATAAAGACAATAAGACAGTAAATGGGAAAAACAAAAACAAAAACAAAAAAACAAAAACAAAAACAAAATGCACAGGCTTTGCAGCCAGGCAAATCTAGTTTCAAATCCTCATTTTACTACTAGGTGGGTAACTTTGGGAATGCTTTGGGAAGACATGAATTTTAAAATCTGTGAGATAAGCTGGGACCAGCAGGTGGTGTGGTGGTTAAGGTGCTGGACTTCTACATGGCCAACTGCTGTTCAAATCCTGGACCTGGTAGCTTGAAATTCATGCTGGGTGCATGTGTGTCCATGCCCAAAATCCTGAGAGGAGAATGGAGAAGGGATTGCAGCATGGCCATCCCCTCTAGGGAATGATTTCTTGCGTCTGTCTCTGCTTTTCTCTTTGTCTCTCTGGTGAGCGCATGTGCCCTATAGCCAAAATCTCTCAAAAAAAAGTCTGTGAGATAGGGATAATAACTAATACCTACAATGGAAAGCTGTTGTGAGGTTTAAATGAAGTGCTATACATAAAATGCTAGTAGGTATACCAATGTTCAGAACAGCATTTCCACAATAGTTGAAAGGTAAACATGATCCAAGTATCTATCAACAGATGAAGGAAGAAGCAAAATAAAAAATATGCATACAATTGAATGTTATTCAATTTCAAAAAGGAACACAGTTCTGCTAACATGCCACAATGTGGATAAACTTTGTAAACATTATGCTATGTGAAATAATGCAGTCATGAAAGTACAAATATGGCATGATTCTACTTACAAGCAGCACCTAGCATAGGCAAATTCATACAGATGGAAGGTAAAATAGAAGTTACCAGGGCCTGAGGATATAGAGGAATGGGGTACAGAGTTTCCATTTTGAATTTTGAAATAATTCTGAAAATGGGGAGTGTGATGGTTATACAACATTCTGAATGTATGTAATGCCACTATATTGTACACTTAAAAATGGTGATGAAGATGGTAAGTTTTATGTTATGCGTATTTTGTCATAATTAAATAATAAAAGGAGCAAACAAAACAAAAATGTCTGATGCATAGTATGTGGTCAAGAAATGATGGCTCTAGTTACATCTTATTCCGCCCACTTTACCTGTTCTAAGTAATGTAGTGACAGGTTGATATACTTGGCCTCTGTTAGAAGCTGGCCGCCTACTCCAGTCTTGGCAACTCGCTCTGAACCAGCCAGGTCAACCAAATGGAGCTTGGCATGTCGGACAGTTGCAGATCCTGGTTCTTTGCTTGATAAATGAACCGTGAAAATGCAGTGGGAACGAGTTGAAGCTTGGTTCATAGGGGTCTATTAAAAAGAAATCACAAAGCATGAATAATATAATTGATGAGAATTTTTGCAGATAGCAAAAGATTAAAACTTCTATCTTCATCTTCCCATGAACAATACTCTCAAGTGAAATGAGTATACTTATAGGTGAGATCCTTAAGTTATTTTCAATGTATTATCTCTTAGATGATGGATAACAAATATAGATGGGTAATTCAGAAAGTGAAAAGGATTCAAAGGGGGTAAATATTGAATTCTCTTACCAATAGGATAACTTTATAACATTATCTGACTGTAGTCTATACCTTAACCTTGGCTATCCATATTAAAAATGCTTACTGCTAATGTCATGGGAAAAAAGGTATGAATGTGAGTATCAGGAGAATCATAATCGTAAACACAGTCCACAGTCAAGAATTCCCATCATGACTGTTACTACTCAAAACCGAACTGGCATCAATGTTAGTCAATAATGTATAAATAAGTAAGAAAAAAAAATAGAAGCCATAATGATAGAAAAATAAGAGATTTAAATGCCATTAAGTACACAGAATCTGGTGGTCTACATAGAAAATGCACACAGGCTGGGAGGTGGTGTGGCTAGATCTTATATGGTCGACTACATGGTTCAAGTCTTGTATCCAGTGGTTTAAAAAACACACTGGGTATATGTGTAAGTATGCCCCAAATTCCAAGAGAATGGAGAAGGGATTGTAATGTGGCCATTCCCCATGTGGGTATTTTCTCACTTTCTATCTCTCTCTCTCTCCAGCAAGTGCACACACTCTCAAGAAGAGGGAAAAAGAAAAAGAAAGGGAAAACAAAAAGCAAGCTCATCTACAAACTATTAAGAACTAAAAACTTTAGCAGAGTTGCCAGATATAAGATAAATATGTTAAATCAGTAAGGTTCTAATAACACAGCAACAATTAATCAGGAAATGTAATATTATTCACAATAGCAGCAGAGACAATGAGATACAAAGGGGTTAATTATATAAAAGATATGCAATGTATAGGGAAATGGTAAATAATATTATAGGACTAAAAATCCTGAATAAATAATGTGCTAGATATTAATACAACATTTCATAATTTATATATGAATGCCTATATACTAATTTATATATGAATGTCTATACAGTAAACTCTTTATTAAGTGTAATTAAAATAATAATGTTGCAGTTTTCATTTACAGAACAAGGCAAACAAACTGATTCTAGAAATAATATGGAAGAGGAAATCTTCAAATAAAACATTATTCAGAGAGAACAAAAAAGGGGGACTTGTCTTGCCAAGTATCAAGTTATATCATAAAGCTACAGCTATTATAACAATGCAGTACTGGGGCCAGCATGTGGCTTGGCAGTTAAGGTGCCGAACTTCCACATGGTTGACTACAGTTCAAATTCTGGACCCAGTGGCTTGAAAATCATACCGGACATGTGTGTGTGTGCCCCAAATACAAAGAGCTGAATGGAAGAGACTGCAGTGTGGCCATCCCTCTTGGGGAGTGATTTCTCACTTTTCCTTTCTTTATATCTCTCTGTCTCTCTCTTCTCTGGCAAGCTTACATACCCATCACAAAAACCTAAAAATGAAACACAACAAAAACAAACAACAAAGGGGACCAGCAGTTAGCGTAATGGCTATGTCGCTGGACTCCCATGTAGTCGACTGCGGTTCACGTTCCGGACCCGGTGGCTTAAAACTCACGCCAGGCACGTGTGCATGCATGCCCAAGATCCCGAGAGGAGAAAGGAGGAGAAGGGATTGCAGCATGGCTATCCTCCCTAGGAGGTGATATCTCGCTTTCTGTCTCCCTGTCTGGCAAGTGTATGTGCCTTATAGCAAAAACTTCACCAAAAAAGAAAAAAAAGAAAAAAAGTACCCAGCAAACAAAAAACCAATGCAGTATTAATGCAGGAACAGACAGACAACTAGGTTAGAGAAACATGCCATGCTCACTGGGGAACTCTGTATAGAGTAGCGGGCAGAGGGGACATCACACCGTGGTGGAAAATGATGGACAACCTAATAAATGATGCTAGAATAATGGGAAATCCATACTTTTTTTTTAATTGCCAGAGAGCATATGCACTCATCAGAGAGAGAGAGAGAGAGAGAGAGAAGGGAGGGAGTAGTAGTAGCACCTCCCCCCCATGGGGCACAACCACCCCACAATCCCTTTCCTCTATTTTTCATCTTGTTGGGATTTGGGGCATACATGCACACATGCATGGTTTCTTAAGCTGCTAGGGGTGGAATTCAAACTGAGGTCAGCCATGTGGGAACAGGCTCCCTTAATAACAGGGCTGACTCCAAACTATCCATTAAAAAAAAAAAAGTTAATATATATTGCTTTCTCACACTACACACAAAAATATATTCCAGAATATTTTAAGGCCTTACATATAAAATAACATACCAGGTCAGGTAGGTAGGATGGTGGTTAAGTTGGCTGGATTCCACATGTCAAATGTATGGTTCGAGTCCCAGACCCAGGAGCTTGAAAAACATGCTGAGAGCATGTGAGTGGGTGCCAAAAGTCCCAACAGAATGGAAAAATAGAAAGAAGGGATTGTGGTATGGCCATGCTCCCTGAGGAGTGCTTTTTCTTTGTCTATCCCTCTGGTGAGCACACAAGTCCTATAGCAAATTAAAAATAAATAACATGCCTTTAACACAGATATAAGCAAATCTAAAAGCCTACTGTAATGAACTGAAGGTAATAATGAATACTTTAAGATATAAAGCACAAAAATGAATAGATTTACAATATTTGACCAAATCATCAAAAATTTAAAAATACCTATGTGATAAAATCTACCATACAGTTAAAAAAACTGGGAAAAGATATTAGCAATGCATATACTGACAAAAGATTAATATTTGAAATAAAGAACTCCCATAAATCAATAAGAAAAAGGCAAACAACTCAGAAAAAAATGAGCGAATGGATATGAGCAGGCAACTTGTAGACAAGAAACCTGAAAATGTTTAATAAGTATTGAAATCAAGTGCTCAAATTAAAAAAAAATCAGAACTATATGACTTAGAACCAAAAATATAAATTATTTTCTCCCAACAGACTGATACAAAATTAAATCAGTAATAGTTAACCTTCCAACAAAGAAAAGCCCAAGTCTTGATGGTTTTACTTCTGAATTCTAAAAAGCTTTTTAAAAAGAGCTAATATTTATTCTGCTCAAACTATTAATGTTTGTAAAGATCCCCAAATAAACAACTCTCCTAATTCATTTTATGAAGCCTCAATCACCCTCATCCCCAAAACAGACAAGGACATAACAAAAAAGAAAACAACAGACCAATACCTCTGATGAATATAGATGCAAAAACGCTTAACAAGTTATTAGAAAATCATATTCAATGACACATTAAACAGATTATACACCACAACCAGGTAGGCGTTATTCCAGGGATGCAAGGATGGTTCAACATACACAAACAATAAAAGTAATATGTCATATTAACAGAAAGAAGGATAAAAACATATGATCATATCAATTGATGCAGTAAAAGCATTTGATAAAATACAATATTCCTTCAATTAAGACTCTCAACAAAGTCCATAGAAGTGGCATTTCTTAACACAATAAAATCCATATATAAAAAACCCATAGCTAATATCATACTGTATGGGGAAAAGCTAAAAACTTTTCCACTAAAAACTGGAAGACAAGGCTGCCCACTTTTTTCACTCCTTTTCAATAAAGTACTGGAAGTACTAGCCAATGCAATCAGACAAGAGAATAAAATAAAAGGCATTCAAATAAGGAAAGAAATAAAATTATGTCTATTTGCAGAGGACATGATTATATACATAGAAAATAAAAAAGAATCCAGGGCCAACTGATGGTGTAATGGTTACATTGCTGGACTCCCACATAGTAGACTATGGTTTGAGTCCAGGACCTGGTGGCTTAAAACTCATGCTGGGTACATGTGTGTGCATGCCCAAAATCCCAAGAGGAAAATGGAGAAGGGATTCCAGTATGGCCATTCCCTGACATGATTATATACATAGAAAATAAAAAAGAATCCAGGGCCAACTGATGGTGTAATGGTTACATTGCTGGACTCCCACATAGTAGACTATGGTTTGAGTCCAGGACCTGGTGGCTTAAAACTCATGCTGGGTACATGTGTGTGCATGCCCAAAATCCCAAGAGGAAAATGGAGAAGGGATTCCAGTATGGCCATTCCCTGCCACCCCAGGAGTGATTTCTCACTTTCTGTCTTTCTCTCTCTGTCTCTCTAGTGAGTGCATGTGCCGTATAGCAAAAATCTCTCTCTCTCTCTC